GTGTGTCTGTGTGTGTGCGTGTGTGTGTGTGTTTAAAAGGCTAGATTTCTAAAAATTCAAGAGGATTTTCAGACTTATAATATTATTTTTGTTCTTGTGATTGTTGTTTTATTAATTAGAGATAATTCATATTAATAAAAAAAATATTAATAATAATAATGATTTGCTTTTTTCCGACACCGATTTCTGTTTCGTAATTTTTTAGTTTCATTTGCTTGATCTGTGTATTTCATTTAATTTGGAAATTTTTATTATTATTATTTTTTTTAATTATTATTTTCTTTATTATGACTGCTTTATTAATTGTAGTTAATAATAATAATAAAAATAACAATTAACATTTTTCCAACTCCGATTTTCGCTATATATTTTTTTGTTATAATAGACTGGGCTGTATTTTTGGTCTATAAAAATAATAATACTATCTTTATTTTGGTTTTGGTTTTCCATATACAAACGAATAAACGAAATGCGCTTCACATCCCTGATTCTATTTCCATGGCTCCCGGTTATTTGCGTTTTCCCATATGTCAATACAAATTAATTAAGCAGAGAAAGGATAATGATCTTTAATTGGTTTAATTGAGCAATAATGTGGAAATGTAATTGAGTTGGACTTCATTAAACGAAACGAGCCGGATTTTTAAATAGAGTTGACTGGCTCAGACGTGTCGCACTGTCTCCACGCACACGTTGAACAGCAAACCAATCAAAAATCCTTGGAGAGGGTTAAAAATGGCGAACAGGAAGTAGATAACAACGGAGGACTTACCGTTGACCTCATACCTACCTATCTATCTATCTATCTATCTATCTATCTATCTATCTATCTATCTATCTATCTATCTATCTATCTATCTATCTATCTATCTATCTATCTATCTATCTATCTATATATCTATCGAGATCCTATCTATCTATCTATCTATCTATCTATCTATCTATCTATCTATCTATCTATCTATCTATCTATCTATCTATCTATCTATCTATCTATCTATCTATATATCTATATATCTATCTATATATCTATATATATATATATCTATCGAGATCCTATCTATCTATCGATAAATATAACTACCGGTGTTTCTGGTGAAAATTTTCAATAATGGAAAATTCTATAATCTTGTAGAGTACATCATACAATGACTCTTTGAGCGCTTTCCAAATTTAGTCTATGAACTTAGTATTTACTGTAATAATTGTGGCCATGTATCCAGACACGAATAACTCTAAGACAAATTTTGAAAGTTTACAAGCTTTTTTATATTTGGAAATATTTCAAATAAATGTTTTTTGGTCACAAATTAACCAAAGATATAAAATAATGTTTTGATTACGAAAACCAGAACAAAAATGTTGTAGCGCTCAATCAATTTGCAAGCCGTTGACGTTGTTGGTGGGTAGGTTGCCGGTTCAGTTGTGGGTGGAGGAGGTTTGGGCGTAGTTGTTGTGGGTGGAGGAGGTTTGGGTGTAGTTGTTGTGGGTGGAGGAGGTTTGGGTGTAGTTGTTGTGGGTGGAGGAGGTTTGGGTGTAGTTGTTGTGGGTGGAGGAAGTTTGGGTGTAGTTGTTGTGGGTGGAAGAAGTTTTGGTTGGGTGTGGAAGAATGGATGTTGGCAGTTTATTCGCCGGCAAAATCTGCTGGAGAAAAATTTATTTCATGAATGAATTTAATTTAATCAATCTGACATTTCTTAAAACTTCCAAGTGAAAACTTTATATTTCATGTTTATTAATATTTGAAGAATAACGTAAATAATAACAAAAGGAATAATAATAAAAATATTAAAAGCAACTATAATAATTATATTAATAAAATAGCGATGATGATGATAACCAGGTTTAGTGGAATTTTCATGTCTTCGTAGTTTTTAGAGTTACAGAAGTCTCCGGAGCAATAGCAATGCATTATGTTGCTTTGGTCTTGGCTTTGGCAGAAATTTTCAGATTTCGTTAACTTTCTTTCAGTGCAATTTTTTGTTAACACCTTTTGGTCTAAAATTAAGTTTTAAATTATTAATTTTTTGGCAAATATAGCTACAATCTAATGTTCAAAGTGCCTGGAATTAGTATTTGTGTCATTGATACCTTTGAAAAGTACTAAAAAAGGCATTGACCAAAAAACTGAAACTAACTGACCGGTACTGTCTAAGACCACCAAACAGGAATCTTCAGTCTCGCAATCGGTCATCGTCCCATCAACTGTTGAGAAATCGTTGCAATTTGTGCCAGCATCAGTGGAGCAGACGTGACATTTGAATGCGCCAACTTGCTTCGCTAAGGTGCTTAATGTCAATATCATCATTAAGGTCAAGGTCACTGAGACGTTGGCGGGAGAAATTGTAAGAGAATACTTGGATTTCATTGTTGTTGGTGTTCTTTTTTAGTTTTCGTAGTTGTGGTAGTAGTAGTAGTAGCTGTAGTAGTAGCAGAAGTATTAGCTGCAGTAGTGGTAGTTGCAGCAGCAGTAGTAGTGGTAGTAATGGTGATTGAAATTTGAAACTAAATAAAAAAAAATGAAAAACTTTTGTTAATTAAATATTTAAAAATAAAATGAAACCAATTTTTTGTAATATGTACCAAATAATATAATAATAAATTTTTCAAAACAAAATGAAAGAACGAACGAATGAATGAATGAATGAACGAACGAAAGAATAAATGAATGATCGAACGAATGAATTTATTCATCCAAACCTGCCTGACAATTCTTCCAACGAATTAACTTCCAACTCACAAACTTTGCCATATTTATAGACAGAAATTTATAATAAATTTACACAAACACACATACACTCACTCACACGCACACACACACACACACACACACACACACACATAAAAGTGCAATATAAACTTTCCCATTAATAATAATGTATATATATATATATATTTGTGTGTGTGTGCGTGTGTCAGTGTGTTTGTGATCATAACCCATTGAGATTATTTTGCCTTGAAAACAACAACAAATAACAACAATAACCATAATAGCCAAAACTTCTGATTATCATAACAATAACATCGACATAATAAAATAAATTCTTTGATAGCCCCTTATCAACAATGGGACACTCGATCTATGAGCCAAATTTATGTTACTCTATCAGAGAGGTATCCACCCAACATATATTTTGAACTTGATACGTTCACAGAAAGAGAAAAAGAGAGAGAGAGAGAGAACGTGAGAGAGAATGAGATAAAGAAAGAGAAACCCTACTCCTCTCTCTTCACTACTAATATCTCTCCTATTTCTTATATCATTAAAGCTTTTGGCTTACTCTTTCATCGATACGCTGACGACACATGTATATTCCCACCTCTGATCCTATATCTCAGCTTGACAACTCGAATGCATGTGCTATGAATACAAAGGATTGGCATTTTTCAAACTAAATCCCCGCAAATCTGAAGTAATGTTTCTTGGCACTACGCAACAGCTTATAAAATGTTCTCCCTTCACATGTTTTCTTGTCTGATGCTTCTCTCTTCTCAACCTCTAAACTTAATTCTTTAGGCATAACTTTTGGCTCTTCTCTATCTTTTAATTCTCATGTCTTAGCTTTGATCAAATCTTGTAACTATTGTACGTTGACTATTTGTCATATTTGTAATTTTCTCACTGAAGATATTGCTCCTACACTGGCTCTATATCTCGTTTAGATTACTGTAATTCTCTTCTCTACGGTCTTCCTTCCTACCTTTTAACTTTACTTCAAGGAGCTCAGAATAGAGTTGCAAAAGTTGTTTTAAATATCAGTAATTTATCTTCCAGCACAGATCCACTCATTCAACTACATGGGTTGTCAACGCATTATATTTAAACTCGCCGTCCTCACGTACAAGTTACTTAATACATCTCAACCATCATATCTTCATCAACTTGTATCGCGTCGTTCATCAACTCGTCAACTTCGTTCTTCTTCATATACTCAGTTGCATCAACCTGTCAGTAATTCACCAGCTGTCAGCAAATGTTTTACTTACAGCTCTTCTTCCATATGAAATGGTTTGTCTGCCATCATTCAGCAACAACCACCATCAAACTTTTTAGGAAATGATAAAAGTACTATTTGTTCTAAGTGATGCATTCAATTAGTATTTCTGTCACAATAAATGGCATACGATGACTTAAATTGGTCAAACCAAGTTAAGTCGATTAATGCCAATGGGATCATCTTTTATTTTTTCACCATAAAAAAACATACAATGATAAAAAAAAAATATATATATAAGTTAATGTTAATTAAATAATGCGCAATGATAAAATTTTTAAAAATTGTATAAAATAATATTAAAGGTTAAGACCATTTTGCTCACTGTGAAGTTAAGTGCAGAACGGTGAAATATATTTAATTAGCATCATAGCTTGTTCCTGTCACAGTAAATGTCATACGATAATCTTATAACAGTGTTTATCAATTTATCATTAAATGATAAACGATGAGATTATGATTTTCAAATAATAATAATAATAATAATAGTAATAATAAAAAGGAGAAATTAAATAAATTAAATTCGAAGTGATAATCTCCCGAAATAATGACAAGATGTTCAAATTATTCAGATTAGAAGAATACTTATTACGTCAATCGAAAAGATAACATGCGTTATTAATTGCATACCATCTCTTTCTCTCTTTCTCTCTCTCTCTCTCTCTCTCCAATCTCTCTCTCTCTTTCTCTCTCTCTTTCTAAACTTCTTCAACGATCTTTTTATTACATCGTTGTTATTAATTTTAATTTTTTCAAATATCAAAACCGTTGTCTTCAATTTTTTTCTCTCTCTCTCTCACTTTCTCATCGTAGTTTATTTATGATATGATAGATAATTGTATCATTGCTTCTCTCACTCTCTCTCTCTCTTTTACCGGGATATATAAATAGATATTTGTATCAATTCTCTTTTTTCTCTCTTTTTCTCTCTTTCATCGTGATATATAGATAAATAGATATATGTATCATTGCTCTCTTTCTCTCTCTCTCTTACATCATGATATACGATAAATATTGGTATCATTACTCTTCTCTCTCTCTCTCTCTCTCATACCGTGATATCTTTCCTTATTCCATCATGATATATGATAGGTATTTGGATCATTCTTCTTCTCTCATAAAGCAAGGAATTGCTAAAAACATCAAGATTTCACCTTCAAGGTATTCAAATTTTAAAAATCCCTTCCTAATTTAATTCAAACAATCTATATGTAAATTTCTAGATAATAATTTAAAAATATACCTGTATAGATACTTTAGATTTGTGATTTTTACTATCAATAGCTCTTAAACGACTTAATTGTATCATAAATAGAGACGATAAAACTTGAACATGGGTGAAAATGTTTGAATAGTCTGAATAAAACATACATTAAATTAGTTTAAAGCCACGACAAATCTAGATTTATGAAGAAAGGTTGCATTTTCTCTCTCTCTCTCTCTCTCTCTCTCTCTTTTTCTTTTTCTCTCATTTTCTTTTGTCACAACGATTTCAAAATTTTAGAGTCGAGGACCATTTTCTTTGTGAATTTTCGTGATATTTTCGTAATTTCAATGACTCATAGGTTAATGACTTTTCATTGAGTTTCTGTTAACTTCATCATTATACTCTACACCACAGAATCTTCAACGTTTCTTTCATTCATGGTCTGGGGTTTGAGTCGACTGGTTTTGAATAGATAATTTGGAACTTTAACAAGTTAAAAATCCACTTATAAACGTTACAACTCAGCCATTTATTGATATTTTTCACTTACGAAAACGTTTCATTCGTCACGAAATGTCGGTATAGACTGAAATAACAAATTCAAAATGAATATAAAAATCATTCGCTCGCAAGATGTCAGAATAAATGGACAACTTTGTTAGTATGGAGTCAGAAAGGTCTACATGGACCCTGGGTGATGGTGTCCCTTAAAGCCATTAGACCCTGAGTTGTGTCCCTTAAGGCCATAAAGTACAGCCCCCTATAGCCCCTATCCTTTACTTTCCATCTTATAAACATCTGATGTTGTGAAATTTTTGAAATCAACTGTCATCTGTGTCTGGCGATGTTGAGTGTTGTTGTATTGCTCAGTCTCAGAAGGTTTTGTGAGCGAATTATCAACTTGCATTTTGGCTGGAAGAAAAGTAGTTGTCAGCGGACAAATAAGAACTAAACAACGATCAAACTAAACACGTACATATGTGGTTTAGTGACTTGTGGCTTGCGTAAATTGACGAATGTGGATGACTTGAAAGAACCAGTTTCTGATCTGGGCGTCGTTTTTGGTCGGGTCTATCTAAAAAAAGATTTTGACAAACTTTTCTGTCAAAAATTTTTTTTTCAACTTTATAAAAGGCTGTCTGTAAAAGATGTCAGGATTCGGTTTTGGTCGTTTTTGGTCGGATCTATCTAAAAAAGATTTTGACGAACTTTTCTGTCAAAAATTTTTTTTTAAATTTTATAAAAGGCTGTCTGTAAAAGATGTCAGGATTTGGTTTTGGTCGTTTTTGGTCGGGTCTATCTAAAAAAGATTTTGACAAACTTTTCTGTCAAAATTTTTTTTTCAACTTTATAAAAGGCTGTCTGTAATGTAAAGGATGTCAGGATTTAGTTTTGATCGTTTTTGGTCGGGTCTATCTAAAAAAGATTTTGACGAACTTTTCTGTCAAAAATCTTTTTCTCAACTTGATAAAAGGCTGTCTGTAAAGGATGTCAGAATTTTTTGCGTTTATAGCTTCCCCCTTTTAACTTGTCACAAACGGGTTTCAAACTTTCAAAGTAGGTCTCAACTTTTAGACGCTCTAGTCCTCTTCAAAACGTGAAATCCCTCATGGATAGTCCCTAACACAAGTGCGATCAAATGTTATCTCACGAAAAATTCGACTTAATTTTGGAGTGGCAGTCTGTTTGTGAGAGGATTGGTTACTGGAATTTTGTGCTGCGTACGATCAGCAGTTGCCTATCTAAAAAATTCAAAATTTTGGCTTTCCCGACCATCAAAGTTTTTCCGATCCGCCACTGGTTAAGAACATGAGTCTACTGACGTCCATTCAATTGTCAAAGAGATAAAGGTTGGATCTGAACTGCGCGATTAGTCAAGTTTTTCGGGTTCTTAAATTTAGGTTTTAAATTGAATTTTTATTTAGTTTATTCTGAATTTAAATTAAAAAAACGAAAATTTTATCAAGAGTGAGAGTAAAATGCTCGATGGCAAAACTCAATCGAAAGATAAGTGGTTGTAAAAATATAATAAACAAACAATTGAACAAAATAGTGAATGAATGAATGAATGATTGATTGAATGAATGAAAAAACGAATGAATGAATAAACGAACGAACGAACGAATGAATGAATGGATGAAGAATGAATGAATAGATGATAAATAGCATTTCATTTCATCGTAATGCGAATGAAATTGTGTGGACACCTGGTCGCAAATCTTGTTCAGGTAAATGTTTGTTTGTATGTTTGTTCGTGTATATGTTTGTTTGTATGTTTATTTGATGTTTGTGTGTATGTATAATACATTTACATATGTATGGTTTTGTTTGTATCTGTAGGCTTTCATAAATGAGTTGCCTGCCCACGCATCCTTAGTTTTCGCATTTTAATTTTTTTTTATGTCTGGGTGTATGTTTGTTTGTTTGTATGTATGTATGCATGTTTGCTTGTTTGTTTGTATGTACATTGTTGTACGAGTGAGTAGTAGTTTTATTTGTTGTATGTATGTATGTATGTATGTATGTATGTATGTATGTATGTATGTATGTATGTTTGTATGTATGTATGTTTGTTTGTATGTATGTATGTATGTTTGTATATATGTATGTTGGTATGTATGTTTGATTGTTTGTATGTTTTTGTAC